AGAGAGAGAGAGAGAGAGAGAGAGAGAGAGAGAGAGAGAGAGAGAGATTCACGGAGAAGAGTGTGCTGACTCTCTACTAATTTTCTGCTATAAAGAAAAAGCTTCTATGAGATCTGCCATACAACATACTAACAACACTGTCATGACACCACATTCAGTACTGATAATGCTACCTAGGCTGGTAATGAAATGTCAGCAAGCAAACAGCTAAGCTCAGAGTGCATGAAGGACTCCACAAACAAACATGCATTTAATTTACAATAATTCCATCAGGTGCGTCACTTTAAAGCTAACCATGATTTCCTTTTTTCCTTATTACCTGTGAATCCTGGGTGTTGTGCTCACATGGAGCCCTTCAAACCAATCATTGCTTAGCCCCACACTGTCAAGTAGCTGAATTCTGCAGCCATCAACCAATTAGAATTTACTCTTTTAGCTTCAAACTTCCCAGTTACCAAGTTTATTCTATCCACACATACCTCAGTCCAAATTCCAGTGTTCTACAAAAAGGCTATTTTTGTTCCAATACAAAAGAAAATATGCACATAATAACTTTACCTCATTGAAATGCACATTTTCTCTGAAAAAATACAGGACAGAAAAGAACACCATTTTTCAAGATGGATCCAGGAAGGAGGTTTTGAACACATTGAATCTACTTTGCTCTCAGTGGCACACAAAACCAGCAGACATTGTGTTGGCGTGTGATCAGGCTCTACAATTGATACAATCTCTGTCATGCATTGATCTTGCTCCAACATGTCCCCCCCTCCAAGTGCCCCACATGGGCATTCTGCTTTGGTAATTGTTAATGATCTCAAATGATACTGTAAGTTTTTGAAGGTGAAATGATTTCTGGATTGGGACTCTTTCACTCTTCTAGACTTTCTTGCCAAGAGTTCAAGATGATAAATATGGGGCTGCACCATGTCTAATTCCTAATAAGTATCTGACTGTTAAAGCCAGGTCCTGCAATGTTATTTTCCAAGAAAATCCTCTTATTTAAGTTGTCATGAAAAATAACAACACAAAGTCATTCAGAAAGCTTCATAACAGAGAAAGATTTTGAATCTGACTCTTCTGGCACTCTGGACTAGTACTCTAACAGCTATCTTCCGATAAAACCCTGGGGATCGTTTATAGCTGAGCTGTATCTGTGGAGCATATTGTGATGGATTTTCATTGCTCTGAGTCTGGTTTTCAGCAATGTAAATAGCACAGTTGGAGTTGAGACCAGCCTTTCCGAGTGTTGCCTTGCAAAATATGAAACCCCCTACTGAGCTAAGAGGATTTTGAAATGCTGGCAGAAGAGGGCGGGCTGTATATTAACCTTCATGAATGAGCAGGAGTAATCCTAAAACTGTGCCGGACAATTTGCAGTGCTCTATACACACACATACACACAAACACAGCATACACATGCTTCACAAACTGACGCTGTGATGTTGCACCTTTGTGTTCAGTCATCCAGGAGAAAAAAAGACCACCTGGGGCAAGAACATAATTAAAATGCTAATAGACCTGACTCACAGAGAAAAGCTTTTCTCTCAGTGCCCTTCTGAGAATACATATATGTAATCTTTTGAAATGATAACAAGATGCACCAACTGTACAAGGACCAAGATTACAGGAGCAGAAGAAAGGATCTTTTCAAAATGCTTTGCAGGGATGTACAGATATAGGAGCCAGTATACATCAGTGGAATACATTACATTCTTGTTAGTGAGACCAGTATGGACCGGGATGACATCGAACTCAGTTGTGAATAAATGTTGGCTAAAAGTTGGGGCAAGCTGCAAGAAGCTAGCTGATGGAGTTAAGGAAGAAGTGATTCTTTCAGGACCATAGGGCTGATAGGAAAATACATCACTGCAGTTCCCAGTGGGGCCTGCATCTGAACTCTGAACTGTGTCCCAGCCTGCTATCCATTGTACTCTGGACTGGAAATTCTGGTATATAAAAATTTGATTGACCAAATCTGAAATTTACTTAGAACGAGCACACTGAAATAGAATATATTTTGGTTGTGTTTAATTGAACAATTATTGATTTCAATGGATTTTTCAAAGATCTTGACCCCATGACATGAACAATTCTCTGTCACCCTCTTTGTTGTTACAGACTCACCAATGTGCTTCAACAGCACACAATTAGAGCTGGTAGGATGTGAATTGAGTGGCCATTGCTGAATCATCACAATTACTGAAAAGAGGTTAAGACGTTATCACTTTGGGTTGCCCTTCCTCTTCCTTTTCTCTTAACAAACCAGAGAAAACAAGGAAAAAATCTGCAGTTGTACAATCAGGGTAAATGACACACAAACAGATTGGGCTTGAGGCTCTTACCATCTCTAATCTGTGTCTACTCAATTTTCAATTCCCAATTCCCCATGTATGGCTATAAGGATTAGAGATCTAAATATCTAAACATATTAGCTAGATTAGCTCCATTTTCTCAAGGTACTTAGGAATTTGTCTGAGTCTCAGAAAGAAATAGGATAGTTAGTACTATGGTCAATAATTCCCATGACATACCTTACTAAATGACTCTAGTTTAAATCTACGTGTCATTGGTTATCTTTAGGACTAAACTGATTCCTTTAGAGAGTTATTTTGGCTCTTTTCATTAATCCTTTTCTATGTTCCCCCATGACACATGAATGCTTTTACTGACATAGTTGAATGTCTGTTGAGATCAAAGTCACAGTAAGCCTGGATCAAACAGGGAGATGAGATGATGGCCTAAGTACTTCCTTCATTTCAGTGGCTGGATTTACACAATAAATTAACTTAAAATGGGAGATCAAAAGTTTGTAATTTAGTGTACAGTATTATGGGAACAAAGTCTTTGTCATAGCATATATTTACATTGCACTACATAATGATTTAATACTTTGGGCATGACTTGTTATATTAACCCATGGTTAGGGTTTACATGTTTTGTGAACCTAGCCTTAAAGTCTATTATTTTATTCAGCCTTTGTTGCTGAATAAATTCCCATTGTTCAATTTGGATCTTAATGCTAAAGCATTACCTACTTCCAGTATATTGATCCTATGTTCCTACTTTCAAAGTATGTGACATTTTTGGAGATTATGACAAACAACTGACAAGCAATAGACTTGGGGAAAGTTTGGGATTTTATTCTAGATAAATTCTGCATTTACCATTTATTTACCATGAAGTCATTTGTCATTCTGTGTGTATTGGCATTTTGAACAGCATTTGAGATTGTCTGTATAAAAACAGTTATCTACTTAACTGGCCTTTAGTAGGATGTGCAAAGTGGAATATATATTTAATCACTCTGTGTGGGTGTGGGTGCATGTGTACATTTGAAGGAAATGCCTATTGCAAATGCATATGTGAGCATACATATAGAATATATGGAAAATGAGGAAGAGAAATCTGGTCCATTGTTGCCAATTCTTTCAAGATCCAAGTGTGATCCAAGTGTGATCTTCCCTAATAACTAGGATATTCCACTCTACATATTAGCCTGAAAATTCCCAAGATTGATAAAAGTTGTTACCCTGCAATAAAATTGAAATCTAATTAGATCTTGCAAGATTTCAGTGTTCTCACATTATTGGCTTGTTTTGCCAGCTAAGATCACCATATTTGAATGAAATTTGCCAGGTTTATATGATTTGGGGCACACTTTTAGTTTTTAAACAAGTTTTTTTCTTTATTGGGAAGAGATTGTAAGTGGTGTTCTGGAGGTGATGAACACCCTGACATCTAAGAGAATGATGTATGATCCCTTGAGAATTGGCAAATGGAAAAAAGTGATTCATATAGTTCAACGGTTAGCTAAAGTATCATTTTATAGCATGTAAATGCACATATTGTTTGGATTGGGACTGCACTTTAAAGCAGAAGAAATCATAGATGATTCAATTTAAATTTAACTGCATAATTATGATGCAGTTATAATTACATTGCATTAACTCAGGTGTTTCAAATTCAAGGTCTGTTGGCTGGATCTGGCCCGTGATGTGGTCAGATCCGGCCCAGGAGGCCATCCTGGTGTACCTAATGTGAAGAGGAAAGATCAGGCCATCATGGCTTTGGCCTGGTCTACCCAGTACAAAGAGGAAACATGCCAGCAATTCAGGGAGTGGCATCAAGCTAGCCACACCCATCCAGTTGGCCATGTATGCCTGACCCCCCAAGGTCAACCACAACCCTGATGCAGCCCTTAATGAAACTGATACCCTGCATTAACTGAATACTATTTCATTAAATATGGCTTAATTGAATACTCCCCATATTTAAAACACTTTTCTTTTTTCAATGCCCTCAAAACTAGAATTTAATGGAAACTTCTGGGAGTCTTGTGACTGCACCCAAGACTTTGGGAGGATAAGAAATTATTTCATTTCTTCATATAACCCAGATGCTGCATCTCTTGCTTTTATAAAAATTAAATGTGGGATATTAAAACTTACTACCTGAGTACCTGTTATGTAAATGTCGTTTTTTTTTTACTATGTTTAATTTAACCATATCATTTATTTTTGTAAAGCAACTTCTAGAGAAGAGAATGAGGCAACGAAATACAACTCATGAGTGCAAAACCAAGTCTTTTATTAGAAATATTCTGGTATAAAAATGATCATGCTCTACACATTGTCATTAAATAATTCATAAACATCCAGGCACTGAACTTTTGATTATTTTTTTGTTTTTTTTAAATAATTTTGATTGGTCAGTACATTGAAGCAGACATATTTCAATCCATATGGTCATCACATACATTAATTTACCACCTATAGAAATCAGCACTTTGAACACAGTCTAGGTTTTGTTTTCATTTTTGTTGTTGATGATGGTTTTTTGTGTTTTTTTAAAGGACTTTTGTTATTTTTGCAACATAGAAAACTTGGTAAGGAGGAAAGAAGGACACAGAAAAGAAACAAGATGAGGAATAGATGATGAAGTCAGAAGTTAGGAATTTAAAAAAAGACAGAAAGGGGGAGAAGGGAATAAAAAAAGACTTCACAAGCACAAACCATTTCACAATTTGGGGAATAAAAGGGAAATTTATTCAATCTTTTGCCAAGATACAGGGGGAAAAATGCAAAAGGGATGCTTAAGACCCGTCCATGTCTTTCTTTTGGGTGTGACATTCATCTCATTGGTTCCCCTCCCTTTAATGGAAGGCAGATATTTTCCGAGGGATAACTTGGTTGGTCCTTTCAACTACACTTGGTGGCCATCTTTTTGAAGAGCTTCGTCCAGTAGCCTAGTCACTGGAAACAAGCACCTATATGATGCTTTCATGGAGTCAGATTTGGTTTTACCTTCTCCTCCACCATAATAACAGCATCTGTACTGAAGAGATCAGTGGCATTTTCTGGTTCATCCTCCTCATCAGCCCTTTTCTTGTGGTCTGTTGCCACTGGCTGGGTTTAAATTGCATGGTTGCTATAGGTGACATACGTCTGTTTGGTAGCCAGAGCTGAAAACAAAACCACAGGTACATAGATATCACCAATTAGTTAATGTACATATGTCAAATCTCTGTCTAAATGATGAAACGGGTGATTTTTTTTTATGCCAGTAGTAGAAGTCACTAACTTTAGATTAAAATTGCCAAGGTGCAAAATAAGTACAATTTAAGATGTTTTCTTTCCTTATGATACCTATATAGGATAGGAGAAAGAATGTTTGCAATCTTAATTGAATGTTCATTACTATTATAATTTTAAATTACAATCATTCACTCCAACAGACTTTGAATGTCTTACATAAAAAAAAAAAGAAACAATTACAAACAAAACAGAAAACAGCCCAATCAGACACACACAATGACAGAAACCACCGCAGAAGTCCCACAAATATTAACCCCAGGCCTGGAAGCACAGTCAGGTCTGAAAAACTTTCTGAAACCCCAAGAGAAAGGGTGCTGTCCATATCTCTGAGGAGATATTTTTCCAGATGGTGGGTGCTATGGCAGAAAATACATTCTTCCTAGCCCTGCAAAATAATAAGCCTTTATTTTGAGGGCCCCCAGAATGCACTCATTTTACTAGAACATTCTGGAAGGACAGAAACAGTTGAGATACACAGGCCTAGCCTAGGCCATGAAGTGCTTTCTAGGTGGCAACCAGCACTGTCAATTGCTCCTGGAAGCTGACTAGCAAGTAATACAGCTTGCATAGCAATAGGTTCATATGGGCATATTGAAAAATGTTTTTTACTACTTACACCACTGTATTTTGAAGCAACTGCATATTTTGAATGGTCTTCAAAGGCAGTCACATGTAGGGCACATTGTAATAATCTAATTGTGACCATTGAGGTGAGTAACTACATAAAGAACCATGCTGTCAAGGAAATATGGCAATTGGCACACGAGATAACCTTCTATAAAGGCTCTCCTAGCTGCACTTGTGACATTCTTTCATCAGAAGGTATGAGTTCACAAGGAACAACTGCCCCCCAAGTAGGGACAAGCTACCCAGTGGTGGGTTTCCATTTTTTTTACTACTGGTTCACTCGTACGCATGCGGTGGCAGGTGGGTGGAGCCTCCTGCCGCTGCCAGTACCGGTCCGCCCAATCTGGGCCAAACCAGCAGAAACCCACCTCTGAAACTACCTGAGGTTAATGATGAAAAGTTCCCTAATCCTAGGTGGGGGATGACAATCATAGCCACTCAGTCTTGTTAGTATCAAGATAAAAAGTCTGTTCTGCCCCATCAGACTCAAACAGTCATCAGACACCAAGTCAGAACATTGACTAAATATGAGGCTGTTTTCAACTTCCAAACTTCTACCCCCTTTTATAGAATTCTTGTTATAAATACATAGATATTGGCAAATCTGCCTTTCTTGTTTTCCACAAATTCTAATTTTATTAACATATCTGGCTTATTTAAAATCCGCATGAATATATGTATGTGCTTCCACGCACATTTCCTCAACTTAACCCATGGACATCTCCTAGTCTCCCTAGGGGAAAAACACCAATTCTACATATTTTAAAAACTGAACACAATATTGCACATTTTATAATGTACATATTTTGTACATATTTTCCACTGTATAGCACTTTTTAATATACATGTATGCATTATAGTTATAAACAAACTTTCAATATTCTAGAAAATATTCCTTTTATGTGGATAAATATTCTATCATATATTAGTGAGATCTGGGGAAAAAATTATATAACCAGTCTGACATTTTTATAGAACTCCTTACTCTGCTAGTAAGCAAGGCTAATTGAGAACTAAAGGTAATGGTATCTATGTTATTCAAAGCAGATTTCTTTAACCTTTAGGATACGTTGGGAACTTATTATTTGGTGAAAAAAATGGAGAAAGAGACATGAGACAATGCAATATATCATGTAAGGAAGCAGCAGTGCTTGGAGAATAAGATTCACGTTGTGCAATTTATTTCTCCCCTGGGGTGTAATATGCATTAAATGGCAAAAGATAAAGAAGGACAATGGAAAATGAAGAGGGAGTTTGTGAGGAGTTGCTCTTAATTAAATATCCACTTCCAAAATGGAAGATTAACCTCCATACAGATAACAAATTAAACTCCATTATGGATTTATACATTTTTTTCCCCAGTGGTTGGCGGTGGGGAAAAGGTAAATATGATGTGCAGCACTCAGGAGCCTTAAAATGATGCAGGGAGAGCAGTTTCAGCATTGAAATGGAATGATGCATCACAATAGGGAGGAATCTCTGGGAAGATAAGAGGAAAAGGCCTGGAGTGTATTTACAGGCAGTTATGTTGAGGTAGAGGGTGTTGTCTGGGAAATGACTGGGTACCATTTATCTGAAGCACCAATAAGTGAACATTAAAAGCCAAACATGTTGTTTTCATGGAATGTGCAAACTCATTTCCACATAGTTAGATAAGCTCCATGGCTTAGATTGGGTAAAAGTTAATTCTGTCTCCAGGGAGTGAAAACCAGCTGGAGGTGGTCCCTGTAGAAGAGGGTCACAAATGTTATTCAGATTTGACAAGGGTGAAAATGGGAGCACTGTCAAAACCTGCTTCACACTTTGCTTCTTATTTTGCCATACTTTCTACTGCAAAATGTGAGAATCCTTGTGATCAGAAAGAGAGTGGTATTTTTATTTCTAACCCTAATCTAAACGTTCATCGGGATTAGGCTGCATTTTGAAAACTTATGTCTGTCTTTCTTGCTTATTAATCCAAATCAAACTCCACCATATCAACTGTCTATGGAAAGAAGCAAGGAAGAAAGGGAGATTTAATGTAATTTGTAGGTTAGCCATTGTTGCACTAGATCCGTGTTGGTGAGCCTATAACACGCATGCCAGATGTGGCACACAGTGCCCTCTCTGATTGACCGTGAGCCCTCGCCCCAGTTCAGCTCCACCATGCATACGTGTGTGCCTCCCAATGGCCAGATGGTCTATGGGTCTTTGCCGTGCATGCAGGGTGGGACAGAGCACATGCATGCATGGGGAAAGGCAGATGTGCGGTGGGAATGCATGCATTGTGTTTTGGGGGTTCTGGCATGCACATTCACACATGCGCTTTGGGCACTCCATTCTTAAAAGGTTAGCCATCACTGCCCTAAAGGAAAGGTTCCCTTGCACATATGTGCTAGTCATTCCTGACACTAGGCGGTGATGCTCATCTCCAAAAGCCAGCGCTGTCCGAAGACATTTCTGTGGTCATGTTGCCGGCAGTGTTAGGGATTCAAACCGCCGAACTGCCAACCTTTCTGAACAACAAAACAAGCTCAGTGTCTTAGCCACTGAGCCACTGCGTCCCTATCACTGCACTAGATGATCTCTTTTTTACAATGGTTCAATGAAATTAGGTGATATAACTATTTTATTTTGTATTGTCTAGGCAGAGGCATTTCCTCCTGCTTTTTAATACATTTTTATTGCTTTCCCCATTTTGTTTTTACATGGAGAGTTTTCCACCCAAATCATTTCCATAGACCATATTGCCAAATTAATATATATCCCTCTTAAATTTACTTATTTTATTACACAATGTTGAATTTTACTGAATCTTACGTCAGACTTGATATGTAATATTCTTTGCTAAAATTTCTGTAATGTTTAACTTAAAGGGAGATATTCTATGCTCGCTGCCAATATTGCCATAAATATTTTCAAATATTTCATATGTTCTCTTAACATGAACTGTTAAATAAAATACTTTGTGATTATAAATCTGGTTTTGATACTGGATTTTGTGAATTCATCCAAAGATCTGTCTTATTTTAATTGGGACATATTTTAAATGGATTATAAATGCAGTTTGATATTTTGATTTGTACTTATATTTCTATTTGAACAAGTTCTGACTCAATTTAATGTAGAAAAAGCTGTACACAAATAAACAAACTATAAATATGAAAGAGAGAGAAAGAGAGACAACTTTTCATTAATTATTTTTACCATACTGGAACCAGTGTCCCTCTTTGTTTGCTCTGAATGATTAGCTCTTCAGGGTTATATTGCTGTTGGTTCCCAGCCTCCTAAGTTTGGGAAATGGGTATTTCATGGCTAACAACATATCTCAGTACTACTGTTCTTAAGATTTGTTTGTTTATGTGTTTGTTTATTTGTCAGCAAGTACAAGGAAACAAGTATGAAAACACATGGAAAAATGGCACAAATAAATGGATATAAATAAACAAAACATAGCTATAAAAAGAGTACATATAAATGGGGACAGTAGGCATGATGGTGCGCTTATGCACGCCTCCTTAGCGCTTATGCATGCCGTCTTAAGACATGCATAAGGTCCATGGTAGACAGTTGAAGGTAGAAGTTATGGGGGTTAGAGGAACTAACAACAGGATCAGGGAGAGTGTTCCACACATTTACTACTCTATTGCTGAAATAATTTTTCCTGCAATCAAGATTAGAATGTATTACATTTCTCCACCCCTGCCTGGCAAACCTAATGCTGGAAGCAGAAAGCTGAATATGGTTGGTGTTTCTTCACCTGGGATGACATCTTTTTGACAAATGAACTTTATTGAAGATTTCAGGTGCTGTTATCCTCAGATAACGATTAGATGGGCCATAAGAAATCAGAGCTGACAGCCCTATTTGTTAACCACAGTGTTTTCATAGCCGATATTGCCTCAATCAAGGTCTGTAAATTATTTATTCTCTTGTTTATTTAAAGATACATGGCCTGCCATTGACAGGGTGAAAAATGTCCCTTCCTTCCCTGGTAGACAACTCCATAGCTTCTCCTATTCCCAGCATCAAAACTGTGGTTGCCCTGTGGTATTCTTCCATGACATTTCTCTTGCAAATTATGTCAGATTCTATTTGGACTGAGTTGGAACACCAAATGCAAAACATGTTAAGAATTTGAAATCACGACAGACTGAAGAACAGATTATTTTTGTGTCCTGCTTTCTATGTGAATTGGCTTATATTGTTTCATGTAGTAAAGGAGATCCAACTATTGACTTCTCCTGAAAAAAACAATTCC